TGTCTGTCTGTCTATCTGTTAAAATACTGTCAGTTACAATGTGTCAGTTTCTGGTGTACAACACAATGTCCCAGTCATGCATATACATACATATATTCACTTTCATATTTTTTTATTAAAGGTTATTACAAGATACTGAACATAATTCCCTGTGCTATACAGCAGAAACTTGTTTTAATCTATTTTTATATATAGTGGCAAACATTTGTACATTTCAAACTCCTAAATTTATCCTTCCCACCCCCTCTCCCTGGTAACCATAAGATTGTTTGCTATGTCTGCGAGTCTGTTTCTGTTTTGTAGATGAGTTCATAGTGTCCTTTTATTCTTTCTTTCTTTTTTTTTTTTAAGTATTCCACATGTGAGTGATGTCATGGTATTTTTCTTTTTCTGGATTACTTCACAGAATGATAATCTCTAGGTCCATCCATGTTGCTGCAAATGGCATTATTTTATTCTTTTTTATGGCTGAGTAATATTCCATTGTATAAATATACCACAATTTCTTTATTCATTCATCTGTCGATGGACACAGGTTTGTTTCCATGTCTTGGCTATTGTAAGTAGTGCTGCTGTGAACATTGAGGTGCAGGTGTCTTTTTGAATTAAGGTTCCCTCTGGATATATGCCCAAGAGTGGGATTGCTGAGTCATATGGTAAGTCTATTTTAAGTCTTTTGAGGAACCTCCATACTGTTTTCCACAGTGACTGCAGTAAACTGCATTCCCACCAGCAGTGTAGGAGGGTTCCTTCCCTTTTCTACACAGCCTCTCCAACATTTATTGTTCATGGACTTTTGAGTGATGACCATTCTGACTGGTGTGAAGTGATACCTCATTATAATTTGGATTTGCATTTCTCTGATAATTAGTGATATTGAGCATTTTTTCATGTGCCTTTTGGCTATTTGTATGAGAAAGACCTAAGATTTAAATGGGAATGAGCAACACTCAGGCATGAAATGCTATAAACAAAATTTGAAGGCAGCTGTCTTTGAAATGATTCACCTGGTTAATATCCTTTGTATGTTAAGACCCTAACACACATGCGTGGTAACATTCGTTTCCCATAGAGAAATGAGCAAAGAATAAAAAATACTCATTTTCTGTATCCCCTGTAACTTAAGGGTTGTCATTAGTATATTGCCCAATCCCCAACCTCTTCCCCAAACCCTCCTCTCTGCCTATGATTCTGGCTCTTTCTGAGGCTGGTCCTGCATCTCTACAGGTAGAGGCTCTTTCCCACCTCACCTTCCGTGTCGAGAACACCTGATCTAGGAGTCACCTTTGCTCTTCATTTTTGCTTCTAGCTAATTCTTTTCCCTTTAGAAAGACCAGCCCCTTGGAAACACATGAACACTCTCATGTGACCTGTTATAATGCTTCCAGTCTAACATTACTATTACTTGATACTGCCCCATACACCTAGAATTTAGAATTAGAAATTGCCAGGTTCCAGCCACTCTATTGTTTGTGCTCAAATTTAAAAAATGTAGTTTTCACTTTTACTCATAATTAACCTGAAACGATACATTAAAAAAAAAAGAGCAAAACCTAACCTTCCCTTCCTGGTGCCGAGTCACAAGCATCTGAGGAAGGAGGGCAGTGAGGGCAGTGAGGGCAGGGGTACCATATGGAGGGTCTGCAGCAATGAAAGTGAGGGTGGGAGGGCATAGAGGCAGCATGCAGAGGAGGTGGCTGGACTATTTGGGAGACTGGTTACATTGAGCAGATATGTTAATCGAGCAAATAAGTAAATATACTGAGAGTAATGGGAGCCAGATTTTTCACTGTCTGAAAACTGCAGAATTAGAAAAGGGTAATCTAGAAAGAAATCTGTATCCAAAGGAAGTATTGGATTGGAATTAAATGTCATAATATGAACTCATGTGTTTTAAAATACACAGATAGATACAGAAGTTGTGATATGTATATGTACATATATATGTATGTCTGTGTATATATACACATATACACATTTCCTCAGTCTTTCTTCCAGGAAAACCTAGAAGCAGTGACACCCCCTTAGCTGTGAGCACGTTGTGCCTAGACCTTGGCTTCTAAATACTACCCACCACTGAAGGGAATAAGGGCTCCTTTGGGAAATGGCTGATGTGAGGACTGGGCCAGAGGAGGTATAAGGTAAACCTGGGGTACCCTTTTGGATCAGAAAGTAAGGGGTTACTCAAAAATTAAGAGAGTATGTCAAAAGACACAGGTGCCAGCTAGAAGGGATGCTTGCTGGTCAAATCCAGGATGATTTGAGCATTAACCTAAATACTGAGATGGAACTCATGAGGTTAAACAGGACTGTGTGTGTGCTAGCATGTGTCATATATGGCATGCACATATGTGTGTGTGTATGTATAGTTGTTAGACACAGAGATGGAATGAAGTGAGGATTGAGAGGAATCTCAGTATAGTGACGAAGAAGAATAAAATAAGGGTATAATCAGTATTAAGATGGGGACAAGAAATCCCAGAGGCATGAGAAGTGGGAAGGCAAGAGAGGGGACTGGCCATCAGCAAAGTGAGCCCCACCCTCTTTGCTGCCCTGTACTTTATATAAAGGAGTTAAAACAAAAACCAAAAACCACCTCTCAGCTTGTGTTTAAAATAAGCCTCTGCAGTTAAGTTTCCCCTCTACAATCTACATTTATCAGACTCTCCATCCCCCTAAAACATGTGCCATTCTATCATTTTTCTGCATTTGGAACCCTTGGTAACCTCTTCCCTTGTAGGGAGGAGAGAGGAGAAATTTCAATAATAATTTTTCATCTCAGCTCCTCCGCAGTTGCACATCAGCAGTTTTTCGGTATTAATACAATTATTTTTGAGTGTGGATGAAAGAAATGTCCGGAAACTTGGCGGTGCTGACTCAGCACGTTTGCCTGGGTAATTTTGTCACTTCACCTTGCATGTCCGTTTTCAGTCTAGCCGTTTGACAGAGATGTTGGCATCCCCAAGTCCCCTGGGTTTTGGCAATGTGATTTGTCTCTTTAGGTATCAAAGACATTATTTATAGGTGAGGCTCCCCCACCCCCACCTTTTTCTATGAAGAAATGTCATTTTCAAGTGCAATTGCCACGACCTGAAAAAAATGACACCCATATTGATTAGTTTGCAAAGAAGAATTAAATTTCTCAGATTCTAAGTACTTAAACCTATTGCTAATGTGATAGTAATGAGTCAGATTGATTGTTTCAAAGGAAAGACTTCCCATTTTTTGAAAACTTGTAAGATTTAGTAATATTGTGAGACCTGGAGGCAGGAATTCTTATGTTGAATAATGGAGTTATTCTTGGTGTTAGAGCGTTTCCAAAGTAAATAACCTCTAGTAACCTTGATTTCTACTCCTCTATTAACTACATAACCACTTTTTTTTTTTCTATGAACAGCAGTCTCAACAGAGACCCACTGGAAAGGATGGGTATATTTTGAGAAATTAATAGGAAAATGCTACAAATTTTATTAGTTATCCAGAGACTTAAACATGTATGTGAAAAAGCTCATGTGAGAACTTAAAATTTATATATGTATTTTTTTTTTCAATCTGTTTCAGACGCGGAATCGTTTTGAAGGAACAAGATCAGAAGTGGAAGAGCTTATGAACAAAATTAGACAGAATCCTAGGGACCACAAACGGGCAAGTCAGTTCACCGCAGAAGGCTACCTGTATGTACAGGAAAAAAGTAAGAGGCTTGTCAACAGTGTTGAGTGGCCAATTAAAATTTATTAAAAAACCCCTTACTGTCCTTACTCTGATGTTTTTGGAATAATTATTCCTACCACTTTCTTTTCTCTCTCCTATGCTAGAAGGTGAACGTTGCACTTCTTTTTTTGTGGGGGAAACACATTCCTGCCCTAGGGAGGGGACGGTGTGATTAGAAACTCTGTGAGCACCCTGCTTTCCAGCCACGTCCTTGAGTTCTGTGCCACGCTTTGCTAAAATTGCTTGCAGAGGAGCTGGGGTTTGGTGGAAGGCTGAAAACGAGGTTGGGTAGTACCTTTTTCCTCCTTTCCTCTCACCTCCATTTGTATCAACACACACACATTCATATACATATGCACCCCCCTCCCCATAAACCTGCTTCTCCATGTTGAAGTCGATGACATATTTCTCTTCTTTCACACCGTTTCTTTCCATACCCATCTGAAATCGTTAGTTTTTTCTAAAATTACCAGGGCAATTGCACAGGGCTATAAAAAAACGTTCCTAGATGACATCTTGACTTATGTCACCGAATTTTCAGTCTTGTTGCTGTCTTAGTGAGTGTGCAGTGCATAGGGTAGCCTGATCTTGAAATTAAGGCCCCCCAAAACTCTTTCATACTTGTGACAGTTTGGTGTTACTTCAACGATGAAGCTCTTACAGTTTACCTCTTCGCCTGTCGAGCTTGGTTGCCAGTTAGTAGAAAGGAGGAGCGTGTGAAGATGTTTCCGTATTTCCTCTTTTCCTCCCTTCTTCCCCTGGACTGAAGCCAGGGTGCTTTGGAATTTTCATTTCATTTGTTAACTGTGGCTGATTGACAGGACCTTGAAACTGAGCAGTGCCACAGCAGAGCATCCTCAGGGGCCAGCCCTGTGATAGCGGTGTTACTGTCGTAACGGTGGTTCTGTTTTCATTTGCCCTCATTGACTGTGGGCTCAGTCTTCACATCTCAGGAAGAAGAGTTATGTAGCATGGCGGAACTCTAAATTTTTCTGATGCTTTATGTTCTTATTCTCAATTTGTTTACTGAAGTTGAGAGAACTAAATTAAAAGACGGGATACAGACCTTATAGGTCCAAGTGGAAAAGCAGAGGAAACTTTAATTTTTAGATTCAAAACTGTCACTTGACTGATTGGCTTTGAGAGAAACTGGGCTGAAATTGGACAGAAAAAAACAACAAAAACGATAGTGTTAGAATTCTTCTCTTGTTAACTGTGTACCAGGCATTGGGCTAATTTCTTTTTTTTAATTTATTTATTTTCAAGTTTTTATTTTATTATTTATTTTAGTGGAGGTACTGAGGATGGAACCCAGGACCTCGTGCATGCTAAGTATGGACTCTACCACCGAGCCATATCCTCTCCCCAGCTACAAATTTTTTATACAACTTGTTTCATTTAATCCATCAAAAACCTTTATGAAGTGTAAGTGCTGTTATGACCCCATTTACCATTGAGAACACGGAAGCGCTGAGAGGTAAATGATGTTTCCTGGATCATTCAGCTTCCTAAATGCTGGATTTGTCTGAGACTGGAGTCCGTGTTGCATTCTCTCCCGCAGTACTGCCTGAAGGTTTGGCGGTGTGAGAAACTGTCATTAATTTCTATGCTCAGGGCTTTTGAGTAGGGTCAGTTAGTGTTAGGAGAGGATGGCAGCTTAATTAGCGGAAGGACCTTAATATTTGGGGCCAAAGACTCTGAGGTTTGACTCATTTCTCAGGCATTTGGTCTAAGCCTAAGATTTTTTAGATTAAAAAGACAGTCATATACTTATTCCTCTTCAAGGCACTTTTCTTGGTATTGAATGAAATACTCTAGTATTTTTATGAACCATAAAATTCAGTACTTCAAAATTCAAAATATCAATAACAATGCTTGTTATTGATAACACACGCATACCAGAGTTGCCCGAACTCTGGTCTTTGCACTAATGATGGTCTGAGATGAGATTTATTGTGGCCCAGTAACCCCTTTCGTCCCCCTCCCCCACCCCCAAGATAATGTAATTCATTCTTGCTAAAGCTAAATGCATTTCTTTCACATGACTCCTTTACCTCTCCTAAGTTTGTCCTTCTAGATTTTTAGGTATAAGGGGTTTATTTGTTTGTAGGTGAAATGATGGTGATAATAGGTATTAATTGCTTTTTAAAAAAATTTGATGTCTTTACTTGGTAAAAGAAAAGAGTATCAAACTGTGTTGGGGCTAACTTTTGTTATGATGGGACCGTCACTGGCTCTTTGAAGTTCTAGATGCTAGCTCCCCCAACTTAGCCCATCGTCTTTGAAGAGCTCTGATGGTTGTAATACTGACTTAGCAAGAGGTTAAAAGTGGTTCCGAGAATGTTCTGGTGCACACGTGGTCAGCTTACCCCTAGACCCTTCACACTTCATTTTAAAGCTTAGCATTACCGTTATTAGTCAGTGAGCTGCTTATGAAGTACCATGGTGGGCTTACAGTGCTTGATGGATTTCTAGACTAGATGCTTTGCAGCGTGTGAGTCTACAGTTGTGTCATTTTGAGAGGCCAGCATTGAATCCAAAACCATCACATAAATTCAGTGGAATTCTTGAAACCCTCGTGAGCTCTTCATACATAGACACACAAAAGAAATAGAGTTTACGATGAGATTTTCAGGTATGAGATCATCGTCTAGCAAACTCTTTGAAAAGTGTCTTTAGGGGAAGATATAGTTTAAGTGGTAGAGCATGTGCTTAGCATGAGCAGGGTCCTGGGTTCAATCCCCAGTACCTCCATTAAATAAATAAACAAACCTAATCACCTCCCTCCCCCGCAAAAAAAAAAAAAAAAGAAAAAACAGTATGTGTTTAAATTACTTCTGTGTTGCTGAAAGCTGTTAGGACCTTTCTGCAAACTACCCCTACGAACCTTCTCATTTCCCCTGGCTTTGCCCTTGCCTGAGGACCCTCCGTGTTGCTGCTTTGTTTCCGTGAGCTGTGTTAGGTGCTGCTTCTTGGGGTTTCCCTCTTTAGTGATGTGTTTGGGGTTCTGCATTGTGTGCTTATTTATGAGCAAAAACGACAAGTTCTGTTTCTTGTTGAAGGGCCGCCCCCCTTCGGTTCCAGCTGGGTCAAGCACTACTGCATGTATCGGAAAGCGGCCAAGAAGTTCAACATCATCCCGTTCGAGCACAGGTCTGGGGGGAAGCTTGTGAGTATTCGCGCGTGCTCCCCATTTACTTGTTCCTCCTGTAAAGGAGCGGGGAGACCCCGGAGCTGGCTGGGGAGGAAAGGGGCCATCTGCATATGTTTTAAGTGGAAGCTGCAGCTCATTGCAGCAGTAATAGTCAAAACAAAGCTCTTCCCACCAATGCTAAACCTAACTTAACAGATTTTAAGAAGGTTAATTCGTTGCTTGCTGGGTGGATGGGCATAATTTTGCTTATGTGAAAACAGAATTAACCCAAGTTCACTTGTTTATCTGTACTTTACATCTTCCCGAAAAATACCTAAAGCAGCTTGTAATACAAGTGCATTTTTGTGATAATGAAACAGACATGGAACATCAGGACCATGACAAAAAGGAGGAAGTGAGGAGGTCACTCTTGGAGGGTGGTGGGGATAAGACTTGAGCATGAGGTGCATGTGTGAATGAACTCAAGTCCCAAGACGTGACTGCTTAGTCATGTCTTTCTAATTTGGGCACCAAATAATAAAAAAATACATTAAAAAATCTAATGAGTATGTTAATGTCTGACTGTTTAATATTAGAGATCTTCACATTCCAGAAAATATAAAAATATTCTAGAAGTGTTTACTCAGACTTCTTACAGTTCTTAATTGAGAACCTGTTTCTGCATTGCTTCTATCTCCTGTCTATGTCTTTTTAATGCTCTTAGAGAAAGGATGGTTTAGTGAAGTAAAATAGTACCATATTTAAACAGAAATTTAGTGAAGATAAATTCAGGGTGATTCACTCAGGAAAGAGCGAATCCACATAGATTGAGTGGTTCTAGCTAGATGATTGCAGTGGCTGATCCAGGGTCCCTAGTGCATTTTTAGGAAGATTCATACGGAATTGATATTTTCCTAGGTCAGGAGTGGTCTCACATTGACTATTTCATACACGTTGACTGTTTCGTGTGGTATAATGTGTATGAAATAGAATCAAATTATTCTTTTAACAAGAGTACAATAAGAGAATAACACATATTAGACATGTGGAAACTGTATTGTTAATCCACCTTTTAAAATGAACACTCCTGAGGTCTGGTTTAATGTTATTGTAATCAAAGCAGGATCTAGAAAACCTGAAGGAAAGGAGAATGACAAAAATGGTGAAGATTCTAATTAGTGATTAAATAAACGAGTTTGAAGGCGGGTAGGATAAAATCTCAACTTTGGCCCCCCCATATAGGGTGTTTTACTCTGTGTGTGTTGATCCTGTAGTTGCTGAGAATGTTTCAAATGCTTATTTGCAGGGGGACGGAGAGGTGTTCTTTCTGAAAGAATGTACCAAAAGGCATACTGACTCCATTGACAGAAGGTTTTGTTTCGATGTAGAAGCTGCTGACCGGTAAGTTGCTGGAATTTATTGGACTTGATGAAAAGAATCATTTTTAAAAAAATGATTTAAAAAATATATAGTAGTTAATTGCAACTGAGGTTTCAATGGCTTGGAAGAATGTGATCTTAGTGCGTTTCCAGGCTGTGTTTTCACTGTGAGCCGTTTAAGTCTTGGTCGCTGTGTTTAGCTAAGAAGTGATAGCTTAGTCTTGGCTGAAGTGTGGAGTCATTTTAACTTGTGTTGTCCCTTAAAAAATAACCTTGGCGCATTTCGTTGCTGATCTAAGCCTGATCTGTGGCACTGAAAGAATAATGAGCGAAAGTAAGGAAACAGCGACAAAGCTAAAAAGAGGTGGTCGTGGCTGTCAATACAGAAACGTATTCATTTGGGTTGGGGGGTGTTTCCATATATAGAGTCAGAGGCAAAACTCTGTTTATTCAAGACTGGTTATCTTTTTTCCCGTTGTCTGACTTTCAGTTATTTTAGTTAGAAAAGAATCTTTGCCAGAGAGAAGGAAATTAAAAAAAGAGAGGAAAAACAAAGCTCGTTGGTCAGTGTTACTACTTGTCTGGCATTATTTCTGCAGCACTGAGGACAACGTGGTAGAATATTTCTTTTTCAGTGGCCGACATTATGGAGGCTCCTCGCCAGCCCTGGTTTTGGCACCTATGGTCTTTAGATAACACTGTTTCATATTTGTAAAATAAAATTTACAGGATGAGGTTTTTTTCAACACAGGTTAATTTCAGGTGAGGACCCAAGAATATAAAAATAATTAATGCCTCCCCTTCCCTCAGATGATATAACCGAGTCTGTGGCGTTTGTGCAGAGCAGGAAGATCTGTGCTTTGCTTTCCAATAAATGGGTTGCAGACCAGGTACATAAAACTATGTGCTTATGCACTATGGTAAATACGGCACTGCCATGGAAAGGGCAGGTGGTTGGCGGGCATTTTGCCAGGACTGAGAAAAATGCAGGAGAATGTCATTGTGAAAGAGATTACGTGTCAAGCCGGTAAGGACTGGTTCAAAAACTTCAAGAAGAGATCCAGGCTGTGTGATACAGCTTGAGCATAAATATGTGGACATACACCCACAGTAAGCACTTACTGAATTTTGTCTAAATGCCAGACAGTGTTCTGAATTCTTCTGGGCTCTGTCTCATTTCATCCTCACCCCAACTCCATCAGGCAGATATTATCCTTCTTATTTTATGATGGGAAACCAGGGCAGAGAGAACTTAAGTGACTCTCCCAAGGCCACATAGTTAGAAGTGGAAGGGCTAGGATTGGACCTCGTGCGTTCTGCCTCTGGAGCCCAGACTCTTAGCCCCTGTGCTGTGGGTGTCAGAGTATAACCGTGACATTGTGTTGCTTCCCAAGTAACTGACAGTCGTGAGTCAGCAGTGATGTCTGTTAGAAAATGTGTCAGTTAACCTGCTTCGTTTTGAAAAGGTACTTCCGTAGTTCTGTATATTATTTTAACACAATTTGTATTATTTCTTACCTAACTCTATACTTTTTCTGAGACCTTGATCATGCAAAACGCTCTTCCTCAACTGGGATCCTTAATATGATTAAAACTATTTTCCGCCCTTCACAGAGGTTGCCGACAAATTACTACGGAGTTGTTTTCATCGTGATCATAACTTGTAAGGAGACTCTGAGAACTGGGGGAGACCTTAGAGGTGCTCTAGTCTACTTGTTTGCAAACCGCCTGGGAAGAAAACTTTATTTTCAAATAAAAAAATTTACATTTATGCGTATAGAAAACAGAAAACAGAGTTCCCTTATTAAAGCAGGGGAGGGGGCCTGGATCCCCACCCTCTCAGCTTCCTTCTTCTTACAGAAATCTCTGCTTTACTTCCATTGATAGCCAAAGCCGCTTTCCGGGACCTGGGTGCCGGGGGACGGCTCATCTAGGCTAGATGGTTCAAGAAAGGCACACAGAGGATCTGATGTCTGAATTGATGACTGAAGGTTTATTTGGAGTCCGCTGGGACTGAGATGTACATTCCAGGCAGAGTGAGTAGCATATATAAAGTTCTGGTGGCAAGAGACAGCATGGCCCATTTCTGGTCCCCAGGGAAACCCAGCATCACTAGAGCAAAGAGCCAGGGAGGACGGGAGATGAGGCCTGAGATGGGGGCAAGGGCCTGACCTTGAGGGTTTTGAGTTTAGTCCATTAAATGGTTTTAA